TTTATTGAGCAGGAAATGGGTAGTCTTGACCCAAGTCTTTCAACAGTCGGGGGATTTTGTTGTGCTGGTTCCGTAAAATACAAGTACATGTACATGTACATGTATGTATGTTAAGGAACCTGCAGCATCATAAGATATAGACTCTTTATAAAGCCCAACTATCCACTGAAGACATTTAGACACCAACATGAACTTTTCAGAGGACTTCACTAAGGACCAACCTCAAACATATGTGAAGCAAAATTTGGTGTGGAATGTCTGACGTTGGTTTTTGGGGGGGTCAAGTTATCGTAAAAATAAACAATTTGCTTTTTGCAAGGGCTATGTCTCATTCAATGAAGTTAATATAAGTGTAAGATTTTACATGAAAGTAGTTTCAATTGGGGCTATTACAGGCAAAAAATTTGGTGGAAAAAATATTTTCAATTTTGACTTACACCCCCCCGAACATTGGTCCAGATGAGTTTTGGGCCATTTTGGGGCCCCTCTAACTTAAAAATGAAACAAGCTACTTTCTTTCTGTTTAAATATTTGAAATCTACAGCAAAAAATAGCCCAGATTACCAAGTTTCAAATGTCTGGGTGTATAGTTTTAAATATATGGCCCTTTAAACATTGAATTTCATGACGCGACGCACTTTTGGCCCCGCCCACACTCAAATTTCAAAATGCTGTTGCGCAAGAACGAAAAGTCGTAGAGACCCCAAATTTTCAGAATTTGCATTTCTCCTAAGTATCTTTCAGTACACCAAAAAAAAAAAAAATCCAAGAGGTGATGGTGTGCACCATTTGTTGAGTTGGCATGGAATGACCCCATGGAAACAGTCACGGTTGCGGGGCATTTGTGTTTTGTAAACACACCTGACTGACTTTTGTTTTGTTATTTTTTTGTTATAAACAACCGGCCATTTTTAATCTGGCTGTCCTGTAGAGCTTCCAGGACACTCCAAATGAGTAATAGACCTGCAACAATAGCCGGTCTTCCAGTTACTGCAGGAGATTAAAACTCAATACCATTTTTCCCATTGTCAGTTGTCTGTACGGCAAAAAAAATAGGTTAAGACTATTAATTGTCACCCTATTTGCTGTTTGATGTAAGATTTAAGATTTATAGTTCCCAGGATTTTGATTTCCAATTGCCAATATGCTAGTCTGGCAAATTTCACATTCCGATTTTTAAGCTGACCGTTTTCTTCCCTCTGTGGTTTTCATTTTGGTTCCATGCAGGGATTTAGAAAGAAAAGAGAAAGTCAAGAGAATCCATCAGCTACTAGCGGGTCAGGAAGGGGACTACCAAGCCACCAAGCGAGGCCGCATCAACCTCAAATAAAGCAGTTTTTATGTATTCAAAAGGCAGTCTTTGTAACCTGTGGTAGCAAGTCACATATGGCCAAAATTCGAAGATTTTAATTTGAACTTCTTCATATAACAAGATTGCAAAGTCAACGTTTTAATCTTGTAAATGTTTGCAATCAATATGGCTATTTGGTATTGGGTATTGCCCTCCATCAGCTTATATTTGAGGGGCAACAACCAACATTAACATTTTTGAGATTCCATCGTCAATTATGGCTCTTCAGTAATGTTTGAAATGGTTTGCCTTTACATGTGTGTTTGAAAAGCTGCTTTCTATGAAACAAGCTCATGGAAGTTTGACAAATAAAGTAGCAAAAGGTCAATCAATTTAAAAACAAAGAGTGGAAACAAACAATGTAGTGTACTAAAATACAGAATCCCTTTTTGAATATATATTGACCTCTGCAGCATGGATCACCACTTGATTTGCAATAACTGTTAATGTTTTCAGATCTGTTATCACAGAAAAGGCCCTGTTTAGGCTTTTTCTGTGTGAGTCCCTGTAATGCCATTTTGCTGAGTACTGGGTCTTGAACATACTTCAGCTTTCAAGGTATTGAGCATTTTGTAAAGCGGTGTGTTGGTAGGAAGAATGACCACACTTTCATTGACTCCATTACTATCAAGTTTCCTTGTTCTCCCTGATAATATTTAATGGAGTGGCCACTTCTGGTATTAAATTGGCTTGCCCAAGGACATCTCCTTGCCGTTTCACTCACTCAAAGGCAGTGTTTTGTAGTCATTCCATCAATAGTCCTTCACAAGTCCTTCAGTCTCGTCAAATCCGTGATGCAACCATGGTGAAAAAACACACTTAGCCAAAAGTAATGTCTATGGCGATTTCAAATGAAATACGTGTACAACATTTGCAAACACCAAAATCAAACTACCGTTATGGCAAATGAGTCATTGGATTGTTAGTGAATGACATTCTAAAGCATCCTTTAAAATCGTTGCACTTGGTGTGCTGACATTTTCAAGAAAGCGCTTTTCAAGGAAACTAATTCCAACACTAATCAGCCGACCAGCATGGGAAAAAACTGGCTTTTTTCAAATACTGCTCCCAATTTATCATATTTAGTTAGTCCGCATTTTCTTTGCAATCAATTATGCACCTCTGAAAGGGTACAAGCCAGCCACACTGATTCCCTGACCTTACAATTCCCTTGCGTCTATAAATTGTTCTGTTTCCTCTAAAGTGCGGTCAGGGAACAAGACTACAAGAACCTGATTGTTTTTCTTGGCTTTTTTTCCAGCATCTTCAAACCCAACACGTAAAACAATATTTGCTAAAGAATACTAACTACCAAATCCATCCATTTCTGAAATTACAGCAAAAGTAAATGTTGTATATTCCCTTCAAGGGGTTTTCTCAAGAGAAAAAAAACACCAAATCCTGGACAAATTGAGAGAAAATGACCTGAATGTTTGTACCCATGTTCATTTTCGGGACCGCTTTCGCTGTTGGCCACCAGGCCCATTCATACGTATACGTGCATAATAATGAATTTATTAGTAAAAAGTCAGTAACTGGAATTAACAATTATTCATATTGGGGCCGAGGATGCACGAACCGTCCCCGCATGTAAGTGCCATTGCACATGCAATCGTACCCTGGGATGTAGTATGTGGTATGCAGTATCTGTCCATGCCAGTGCATGGCAGGCGAACTAAACCCAGCCAATACCGATTTGATTTCAAGTCTACTCAAGAAATGGATATTTGCATTGAATGAATTAGTTCACATAATATGTTGCATTGATAATTTGGCGTATTTACTTTCATCGAAGTACGTTATTGTAAACTTGTTGTTTCATTTGCAATTATCCCTTCATATTAAAGGGTATATTTCGGTCACAGTTTCTCCAGGTACTGTGGTACCATGGGCGTCGAACGGGATTGGGGGACTTTTTAAAGGCATATTCTGACTTGTTCTCACTCTAACAAATTTGGGTTTTATTCTGTGACTCTCAAAATCTATGAAATGCTGCCATTCTGGCTTTTTTGGGCAGAAATAAAGTTTGTAATTCTATAAAATGCTGTGTAAATTCATCTTATACATATGTACATGTACATGAATTTAGCAGTGAGAGGTTCTCATTTTCCTCGTCGTGTTGAACCTTTGCCCGGTGTCCTCTGACCATTAAAAGCTTCCACTGATGCCACTCGATCCAGTGATGGACCCAGCACTAGGTCAAGCACCAAGGACCTGTCAAGCTTGTAAAAATCAATGAGCCTTTTTGAGTGGACACAATATGAGGGGTACTCACAGTGTGTAACACCTGTATTTACCCAAATTTATCCACTTCAAATAGCGCGCTGTTAATGTATCCGCCGTAACTCAAAAAGGCGCATTTAGTCAGGAGTGATACACCGGTCCAAAAAAACGTATTTCTGACACAATGTGATATTATAATACAAAAACAATCAATGAAGAAAACAACAACAAAGAACTCATTAACTCAATTGAATTGGTGTTTTATTAACATGATTTTGTGTACTACAATAACTGAAATTGGCCTTGTATATAATACCCGTGTGTGTACACGCACCAGTGCGAAGTGTAGAAAGCTATACATGTATATATTTCTTTAAAAACACGCAAGATGTTAATGATATAACCGTCAACATCCGACCAAAGAGAATTTTTACTTGCACATGGTCATACTAAAAGTACCCAAACAATATAAGCCTACTACGACGTGAGCTGAAAGACATGAAACATGTCCTGATGATTTTGGAAACATGTCGACCAAGGATGCAGGCTTTGATGAATGTATATTTCTCCATAACTTACTCCCCAAAATTGAACACAAGCTAAGGGAAAGACGAGTCAGCCTTCTTTTGATGTATTGCACAAATTGAGATTACTTCTGATAACGTAGTTTTCCTAATTTATGGAATATTACAGTGCATAATCACAGCACAGTCCGAAGCACACTCTAATCGCACTGAGATATTAGTCCCTCATACCCTTTGAATATCACTTGTCTACTCACAAAGTGATTTCCGTTTTCAAGGAAACCTTTCCGTTTCCAAGGAAACCTGTGGAGAATTTTTATTTTTAATGTTCGATATATTTCGGCCTATTTGTCCTACATGCATCACCGGGAGATGTGCGACTCAACGGGCCGAAACATTATTCTGATCACGGAGAAACGGTTAGTATTAAGGGCATTTAAGCGCAATATTGCGTGTGTATATTACGAGATGCCAATAACATTTGATCTTTGCCGTGCTTGTTTATACTCCAGAATATTCATGGACACGTTTGGCTGTTGCCGGGGGAGGGGGGGGGGGGCTGAGCTAATTTAACGCCAATCCAGCCAGACGCAGTAGCGTTTTCAGGATTTTGGTTAGTCTGAGTATTACCCGTTGTCCACGGACTCTCGCCGTACCGTAATGTTTCATAGACATTTTGGTGGGGAGAAGGTAAAAAGACTTACTTCTGGGAAAAAAGTTGCCACAATTACTTTTCGTTCTCGTAAAATTGGTAAAAAGCGGGAGGGGCGGGAAACGAAGCAGTTATGAGGCGTTTGCACTTGTATTCCCCCCCCCCCCAAAAAAAAGGGGGGGGAGAATGTCGCCGCCCCCACTGGTTAGACGCACTTCAACGGGAAAAGTTTTTTTCGGCTGAAAATCGAAGGGGTCGAATTTGACTCATCCAGCAGCAAATAAACATGACACATGTTTCTGAACGCGGCGGGAGGGGCAGATTGAACGTCTACATATAGCAGGGGATTCAAAGAGGCGGGGACAAATTCCCATTTTCTGTTGAAAAGAGCGGGGGAGGGGTGTGTGTTAAGGTTCACCTTGTTTCCCGCTTCCGTTTGGAATTCTTTGGCCCCAAGCCTTTTGGCAATAACTTGTGGGTTTCATTACAGGCAAACTAGACGTTACTGTGCCACTTGAATTGAGATAGTGTAGGTTTTCCCGGCTATTTTAAAACGTTTATCATTCGAATTCACCGTTTCTAATATTCAAATTCGTCCATCAACATCGATTTAGTGCACTTCCAATGTTTAATTTCGTCTTTTGTTGGACTATTTCAAATTCACTTCAAGCAAATGTAAACAGTGAGCGCACGTTTTCGTACCGGAGTATTCGATTTCGTTTCGTCTATGCCAAACCTTGTTATTCAGAAGTGATTCGAAACTTGTTAAGTAATTATTCCACAACTAAACAAAGTCTCATGCAAAAGAGAATAACTTTGGTATTGCTAAAAAATGTGCACTTTTGAAAATAATTCCATTTACAGGGTGATACAGGGTGAAACAGGGTGAATACGTCAGGGTGAAAAAAAACAGACGTAAATGTTTGAAGAACATAGGTATGAAGCCACATTAAATGTGAAATCAAAGCTTCAGAATAAAGATGAGTGTGCCACGCTAAACAGTAAGTTCCTCAACTTAATATAAGGCTAAGCCCAGTTTCTTTTTATCAATTGAACCGATTTCGTAATTCAATAGAAAGCTCTTTAATTAATTTCCTTTAAAGTGAAAAAGTTTAGAAGGTGACATTGTACAAAACTGTTGGTAGTGCGCAATTGTGTTTACAGACATATATGATAACCCATGCACCGGTGGACGTACATCACTTTAATTAAAATTGTGATATCATTCGTAACATTTATTAACTCTTCAAATTTAGAATATGAAAACATGTGCAATTTGGTGTAAATGATGAAAACGAACAAGTCATAATACAGAACTATTTAAGTGCCTCATGCGGGGGATGGGTTGAGTTTTGCCCTTCGGATCTCGGCTGTGCGAAGACAGATTTTTGTTTTGATATAAAAACTCTTACGGTTACAGTTCTTTAAGTACATTTTGCAATATAACAGGGTTGTTTTGTTAGTGTGTCATTTATAATCCCCGCCAAGGTCCGTGCAGTGCATGAACACTTTGCATTAATTGTCCACGGTAAATCGAAACGCTAAACATTTTCGCCAGCCTGCGTCAAAATACTGATTTTTCGTAAGAATGGTATACATGTTCGATTTTCGAATAACAATATGTCAGAACGTCCGAAAGACACTGGGAAAATAATCGATGCGGAAAAAAACAGAGACAAAAATGCGTTAACGTGATGTCAGAGAAATGTGCCAAGGTGGACAACGTTTTCGGCCCTTTTTTTTTAATAATCAAAGACAGGAATACCGGTGTTGTATATAGGCTTCCCGGCTAGTTAAAACATTTTTCATTCAGATTCACCAACTCTAACAATCAATTTCGCCTGAGAAAAAAAATCACATGCTTTTAACAAACCAATTTAGTCATTGACCATTCAATTTCAAAGTTTGGTCACCCTCCTTAGTCACCGGGTCGAGAATATTCGTCATTACAGATCAAATCCGTCTAAGCTGTTGCCGAATGGCAGCATTCAGAGATCAAATTCATCTTATATAAATCAATTAGACGAATTTGATTTCTGAATAACACGATTTGGCGTAGACGAGACGAAACCGAATACACCGGTTCGAAAATGTGTGCTCATTGTTTGAATTTGTTTGGACTGAATTTTAATTTGTCTAACAAAAGACGAAATTAAACATTGAAAGTGCACTAAATCGATGTTGCTGTACGAAATTGAATGTAAGAATCGGTGAATTCGAACAAAAATGGTTTTAATATAGCCGGGAAAATCTATATTACTTTTTTTCTTGACAGATAATGTGAAAATGGGAATATGATTTACAATTAGACCTTTCCAAAATGTGACGCTCTTTGAAAGTTGAGTGAAATACTTACACAGAAAAACGGTGATCAAAACATGTTCTTCACATTTAAATACATTGAATACATTTAAATGATGTTCTTTACAATTTAAACAAAAGTGGGTATTAATGTGGCTTGTTTTTCATAGACAAATTAAATCTATAAGCTACCGCAGAAGTAAAGTGTTCAATATAGTTAAGTCACCAAAATTAGACCTAGCATTGTTACGGTTATGTTTTAAGAGTGATTGAAGGGAAAACCGATTTAGTTTCGTAAAGAATCGAGTTTTGCAAAGGAAACCTTACTTTTCGGCAGACTCTTGCAAAAGTACACTAGTTTTGGTAGGCTTGGGAGGCCAGGCGTTATGTGATAAGATTTACCTGTGATTAATTTGTATATTTTTTTATTTGAACATTTTCTTGATCGTACGTACGCAGCTGCGTACATTGAAATCATTGACGAGTCTCCGTGCAAGCGTTCGTTCCAAAGCAAAAAAGCTAACTTACGATACCGTTGCTGGCTGTTCGGCACCAGTAGACATGGTTGATGCCGGCTTGATCCTTGAGTCTTGGACGGAGCTGCTCCAGTCCATAACACGAATATCTTTGACGAAACGAGCGGCGTAGAGCTTGGGCAGGTAGACACAGACCAGCGTCAGGTAGGCGTTGAGCAGCAGCACCATGCAGAGAGTAGCCACCTTCTGCAGTACAGCCACGGCCGTAGTGTAGACAGGCACGGCGGCCAGGCACAGCACCAGCGTGGAATAGACGCTGACTGCGATGAACTTGGACTCGTTGTAGTTGCTGGGTACCTTACGGGTCTTGAAGGCGTAGTAGCAGCAGACCAGGATCAGTAGCAGGTTGTACACGCACGAGGCGATGAAGCCATTGCTGAACTGGCAGTAAACCTCGACGTACTTCTCTTGGGGTCTCGGGATCAGATACTCTGGTCTGGACGGGCTGGCAATGACCGATATTATGACGATGATAATCTGAAACGATTGAAGACCAGAATTAGAAATCATCAGTGCATTACAATAGATCTTATATGAGTAAGAGGGCAGTGGTTTTGTATCGCTTGGGTTGGCATGTACCAAAAAGTTACATAGCTACCCTCCTTTTTGGGCAGTAGTATTGAACGGAAACACAGCATTATGTCATTTGAGTGGCCGGGGCATTGTGTGAGTAAAGATTTTGTAAAAACACGATAACCTATGTGTTTTCCCTCGAAACTTTGTGAGTTGTGTGTCGTTCTAAGAAGGATCGGTTTATTAACTCGGCATAGGACGGTGTGCTCTGTTCGTCTTCAAATAAATCGTATTTTGTTTTGTTGCTCTTCTCCTGAAGACGAACAGAACACTCTGTTCAACACGTCCAGCTTACATCAGGTTATAGCGTCCATATTATACCTGCACGGAGATGAGTACAGCTGACAGAATCAGCTGGTCCTTGGGTCGCACGAGCCTCGGAGGTTTGGTAGACCTTTTGCTGGCGTTGAAGATCCTGAAGATACGGTTAACCTTGAGAAGAGTCGGCGCGTAGGTCAGCGTGACACACAGAGAGATGATTGCCTCAGAGATGGCGCAGGAAGCGGCAGTGGGACGGGGCAGAAGGCAAATAGGATGAAGAAAGCAAGCATGGTGCCCAGGATGGAGATGAAACTCAGCTCCCTGCTGGTTGCTTTGATCAGGGCGTGGTTGCGGTAGTAGGTCATCCCGGCAAAGCTTAGAGATGAAAAACAGATACCGACCAGACTCAGAGCCAGGATGACCAGAACGGAGGCTTCGTCCACTGCGAACGTTGAAGCCTCGATCTCTTGGCATTCAGTGAAAGTGTCCTCGTCTGGCCAGAACCTCCCGGCGCAGGGAACGCACACGCCGTCTCTCACGATTGCGTTACTGGCACACTTTTGACAGCCTTTGCAGCATTTCTTCTCCAGTGGTACCACAATGTATCCCGGGCGACAGTCCTCGATGCAAAGAGAAAATGTTGGCTTCCCCACTCCGTCTGGCCACCGGATGTCCCATTCGTTGATGGAGAATTCATGGTCGGCTCCACGCGAGTCCCAGCTTCCGACCTGGTAGTACTCCCCGTTGCGGAAACTATCCACGTTGTACGTGCCTTCCGGGTCTCCATTCTCGTCAAACCTGAAGAGGCCGTCTATCCCTTGGAAGGTCACATTCAGAAGGAAGGGCAGAAACTCTCGTCCGCTGATCCCGTTTCGAAAGAGCTCACAGTCCGGACTTGCAAAGGAAACTCCGCAGCGTGCTCTCAGCATGTCCTCCAGAGCATGTGCGAATGCATACACAGCGTGATAGGCTGGACTGGAGCGGTTACTCGTAGGAATGTAGCAGTTACTGAAATCAGAACATCCAAGCTCCCTTCTCCACAGTTCCTTGTACTCAGCAAACCATGGGTTCTCCATACTAGATGCCACCAAGTCATTGAAGTACCTGTCGAACCCCGGGACCTGACGGAAATTCAAAGTGAAGAACAGGTTCCCTAGACTCATGTCCTGCAAGCCATGTTCTTCAAAATAAGCGAATGTATCACTGCCGACTAGCGTGAGTTTCTCGGTCGGTTTAATCTTATGGTACTCCTGCAAGATTCTGTACATTCCTTCATAGCCGCCAAACATGACATACACTTTTGCCTTGTCAAACTGCAGGATCTTCGACACTGCCTCCTGGATTTCAGTCTCTGTGGCAGTTTTTCGAACAGCTATTGAGAAAGCCACGCAAATGCCATTCTTGTCTGCAAGATTCAATAGTTCCTGCGTGCCTCTTATACCGTAGGTATCGACGGAATACATCACCCCTACATAAAACCACTTGAACCGGAGCAGTGCATCGATGATAGCACGCGCCTGGAGTTTGTCCGGCGGGGCAGTACGCAAGAAGTACGGGAACCTTCCTTTGTCGCTCAGCTCGTCACTGGTAGCGTAGCCGGAGATCATTGGTATCTCATATAGATTAGTAGCCTTTGCCGCCACGATGCTGGTGGTACTCCGGCTCGTGCCGACGATTCCGATCAAACGACTTCGCGAGGCATTTCCTGTAGTGACCGCGTGGATCCCGTTCGGTTCGTGCCCGCCAAGAATCGACAAAGCAGACCACAGGGCAGCATCTTCCATGTAGCAGGACTCACGGATGTCAAATCCCAGAGTAACGTTCGGGAGAATGTCATCGTTGGCATTGATCTCCTCCAGAGCATACACCATCGTCTGGACTCTCTCCAGAATATGGCTTCTCATACCCGCTCGGCAGGTGTTATCCTGGTGCAGTGGGAATATTCCACCGATGATGAAGTCTCCTGGTCTGGTGTAGTTCACCAGGACACCGGATGGAACCGTGCCGATGCCTCGAGTCACCAGAAATGCCCAAACGATACTAAGCGTGAGCCGCCACATCTTGCCTGCTGCTTCTGCGGGCGGAGACTGACGCAAGGTTTTACCGATCCTTAGCCGGACTGCTATCTTTCCACTGGCGATTATTATAATGGACTGAAGCTTGGCTGTCACGCACATAGAGTGTTGCACAAGGCCTTGTTCAGAAGTAGGAGAAAGCTTTTCCACCGTCGGCCGGTAGAGAGTGACTCTTATAGACCTAATTGCCGTTCCTCTGCGGTCTTTCCGTTGATCGCTGGCGCTTTTATAAAAGAGGGAGACTCGCGGAAAATCACTCACGTGTGCGCTTTGATAACGACACGGTGATGCACGTAACTTTGTCCATAAAACTTAACCTTCATCTTTGAATCTCATTTTTATCTTTGCAACGTCACACATTTTGTCCCGCCACAATGCAATCAATCTCCTGTATGGAGGAGTATTAAACGCGATTTTATTGGAAACTGCGCTGCAACACTGAGGCACAAACAAATTGCTTTTGGGGAAAATTGACTTGCCCGGAAATCAATTCATTTCAAACAATCTTGCATGGTCGAGCTTTGGACCTCATGATATTCGAATAAACTCGGCCTCCAGTGGAAGGCTGGCCGCAGTCTATCATTCAACGCTATTGGTATTATGAAATACAAATTAGATTACACTTGAGGTTTGATAATTATTGTACAAGTCCTTCGGGGACCGCATTAATTGACTCAAAAGTTGGTTTTCAATTACCTTGATGGCGACATCGAAGGATTAACGCGACCTTAATGGAATTATCTAGCTCGCATTTCCGTCCATTCATATCCGATCGTGTATTCCTATTGTTATGAGTCGGGCGTGATATTGGGGCTTGAATACATGGAACTATTTGCGCGAATTGGAGCTTGTGTGACCATGAATCAGCTTCAAGGTCGTACGAGAGAACAAAGCTATTACCGCCACTCTCTCCTGATTTGCATGACCCTGGGGTTGTAATAAGTCCAACTTTATTTACTCCTTTTGTTTTTTATTAAATATTGTATAGCTGTACTTTCAGCCAGCCTTCTGCATGTTAATATTCCCCCGTCAAAACTATCAATAAAAGTTGGCAAAGTTTTCAAGTGCACGGTGGAATTTCATATCAAGATAAATGTAGTCTGTCAGACAAACACGTTTACACTGGCGAGTTTAGACATCTGGATTGAGTTTTGAATGACATATTGTTGCCTGTCCACAGAAGATGCCAGTTCGTATATGAGAGTGATGGAATGTTTCTCCTAAGTTGTCGGTCGAGTGCAATGAACAGTTTTCATCCAGACTTTGTATGTTATCGGGCAGGTTCATTGGCGGATCCAGGGGTGGGTGGATGGGGGAGGGGAGGGGGCAATGGGGTGAAGACACCTTTTGTCTGAAATATTCAGGAAATAAATCAAAACATTGCGTAACTCAGTCGCAAGCCAGTACACACGCCTTTTAGTTACTAGGCCCAAGCTTATGTAAATGTGCACAAGCACACAAGGTTTTCCCGCCAATTTTCAACCCCTCCAGTAGGATCACAAGACTGACACCCCTCTGGTGGATGCACCTTGGTCCATACTAGGATCTAGTGATAGATGGCCCCGGGTGGTATACCACGTGGTCAGGACAATATAAAATATAAAAATGTGGATAGTCGTAATTCCCAGGTGAATCCTGCTAAGAATATGGGTTTCCCCTGCTATTTTAAACGTTTATCATTCGTCCATCAACATCGATTTAGTGCACTTTCAATTTCGTCTATTGTCAGACAATTTTTCAAATTCACTTTAAGCAAATTCAAACAATGAGCACACGTTTTCGTCACGGAGTATTCAATTTCGTCTCGTCTATGCTCAACCTTGTTATTCAGAAATCAAATTCGTCTAATTGATATTATATAAGACGAATTCGATATCTGAATGCTGCCAATCGGTAACAGCTTAGACGAATTTGATCTTTAATGACGAATATTCTCGACCTAGTGACTTAAAAGTGTGACCAAACTTTGAAATTGAATGGTCAATAACTAAATTGGTTTGTTAAAAACGTGTAAATATTTTTCTCGGACGAAATTAAATGTTATAGTTTGTGAATTTGACTGAAAATGTTTTAAAATAGCTGGGAAAACCTATATTATAGGTTTTCCCGCCGAATTTCCGAATTTTTCTAATCAGTTTCATTATCAGCCATTCAATTTCGCGTGAGTTTTGCACATGTGGTCCAATTGGGGTTTCTTTTTCATTTGGTTTCATTCAATTTCATTTTAGGCAGCCAAGATTTTGCTGTGAATATTCGTTTTCGTTTTTGGGCAGCCTATTTTGTTTTGGTGTATTCAAGACTTAACTTGCAGCAGTCTCAAAATAAGTCTTTGCAACCTTTTGACGGTTGACGCATTCAAATTAGCGAACATCTGCGCGCTTATAACGTATAAGGCCAAAAAAAAAATATTCGGTCTCTGGTCAGACCGAAATTCCGGAATTGACGCGGCCACGCGGCTTTTTTTTTTTTTTTTTTTTTTTTCAAGCTTGGATTGTACAGACAAGGTGGGTCTATTTTGCTCTTTTGGAGTCCTCATGTACATTGGTGTCCTCCATAATTTGCATTGGTGCTTTCGATCATTTGCCTTGGTGCAATTTCCCATTCCTTGGTGCTTATTGGTAAAAAAAAATTGAGGAGGTGCGGAAATAGAGGGCGCTGTTGGAGCTACCGCGGAACATTTTGGAAAAAAAAAGATCGACGCGCATGATTAAAATCGACGCGCGCGCTGACCAGAGACCGACTTATTATTTTTTTGGCCTAACCATGCTTTTCGTGTCTTATTCGTTTATGGGCAATCGCTTTCATCGTTTGGTCATTTAAATTAGTAAGATTTTTTAATCGATATTTTTTTCCTATTTTTCTCCGAGGTTCATTCCCTCCCAAAATCTTGATGACTGTAAAATTTACAATGCTACAAATCAACTTATATGAGGGAAACAAGATGCAACGAAATAATGAATGGAAAGGGACTAAGATCATTTCTTTTTCACTGTTGATCTTTTCTACTTGTTTAAACGTTTGATCAAGGGGCTTTTTACGTTGACGATTTCTTGACGTGCAAGACATCGGGCACGTTTGGCAATGGTTGTACCGTCGGGAACACTTCTCTTGCGTTATTTCTTAAATGTTTTCTTGCGTATGTCTGACCGAACACTTACCATATTCACAGGGCCCATGCAAAGTTTTTAATGCAAACCTTGGAAATACATCTCTGTGTCACATTTAACCTTATTTGCAAGTTTTATTTTCCATTTTGAGGGGTGTTTTTGGTGCCTTCTCCGTTTTTCTGCTAATGTTTCATATTCATTAGAAAACCTGTGATGGCATTCCGAGCATGATTAATGTTACAGGGCTATTTCAGCAAAATAAGTTGCTAGAATTTTGGATATTTTGCTGTCATAAATTTCTTTTATTTGGTGATTATATTATGTGTCAGTACATGGCAGTAAGCCAATGACCAACCCTTTCCCAAAAATGTTTTCAATTAGCAAATTTTGATGAATAATTTGAAAGAAAAACCCTAAACTGAACAGTGGCTTCATGAAATGACATCATAGTATATAACAGCGTTAGTCCGGAAAACATGGGACCTTTTAAATGTTAAAAAAGTGCTCATTTGCAATAAGATTAACCCAAAAAGTGTTATCAAATGTTTAGTTTTCTTACATTTCACAGATTTGCGTATAAAGAATTCCTGAGAAAAATTCATTGCACATACCCTTTAATTAAGAAAGAAAGTCAATCTACGGTTTGAAGTCATCAAATATGATTTACGCTAAGGAATACGGACACGTATGAAGTCTTAAAAGATGTTTGACAAAATGTGAAATATGTTTGCCCATTAATGATAACGAATGCCCGATCAACCCCTTACTACTGGTTAAGACGAAATTGAATGAACAACGCGATACTTTTAATATGAATGCATCTTTGAAAGGGACGAGTGAAGCTAAAAGGCGATAGAATGCTCAGATAGGGAAATTGAATGATTCTTTTTGATTGTCGAATGCCGATCTGCATGATCTTTCAATTTCAATCTAAATCGAATGAGTCAGGCGTTAAATTAAATGAAAACTTGGTGAAATTGGCCGGGGGGGGGGGGGTTCGCATTTTTTTTGGGACTTTCTATGGACCATTTTTTTTGACAGAGCTGGGGGGGGGTTGACTCCTCCCCCCGGATCCGCGCCTGGTTCATGTTCATTCAGATTTGTTTACAAGACTTCTTTGTCGCTTTGGAGGGCACTTTTGGTTGAACGTTCTGTGATTTAATCTATTTTGAATGAGAAAAACGTACTTTTGATTGCACATTCACGAAATTGTATTCCAGAACTCTGCGCGAAAACGTATGCTCGCGTAAATGAATGCACAGGTAACGTAATTGGCCGTCTGTTTCTCAAAACCGAATGCACGGACAATGAAAACGATTGAATTTTTGTTGAATTGAAATGGGATTAAAGACGTGCATTCATATTCAGACGAAAACGAATGACCGATTTTCAGAAATGAATGAAACGATTTCAGGAAATTGACCGGAAAACCTATATTAAAATAGCCGGGAAAACCTAAAATATAGCAGACTTGGCGGCCAAATTGGCGACCAATCTCCCATTTTCGCACGAATATGAATGCACGTTGAGATCAACATCCAATTACCTAAAAACACCAATCAATTTCACATTAGAAGCATGCGATTTCACATTTTAATCATGCAGTTTCAACAATAGGGCATTCAAATTAAAATTGCACAATGTGACGAGCATCCACATTCGCCGGAGCTTCCAGCTGTGTGTGTTTGGTTATTCGAATTCACTATTAAGCAAGCATATGTGAAAAGTAAGCAAAGTAATCCGAAATAGGTCCATGTCGTTCCGTCGTTTGTTAGAATAAGATGGAGTGCTTTTGTTCCAATTTGGA